CCAGACACTGTCATGGGAATAAGGAATAAAACAATGAAGAAAATGGATGATGTTCCTCCCTTAGGGGGTTTATAGTCTAAAAGGAGAGAGAGATAATAAATACATACATAGATAAATAGTGAGGCAGTGATAAGTTCTAGGTGAAAAAGATAATTAATGAAGGAGGGTTGCTTTAGGTAAGGTTGACTGGTTACATCTGTAGTTCTTGAATGGATGTTATCTTCAGTAGCAACACAAATAATGTGCCTAGAAATAAATATAACAAAATATCAATACGACTTTTATAGAAAAAATATGAAGTTTTAGTGGACATGAAAGAAGACAAATAAATGGAGACATATTTCAAGTTTAAGAATATGAGGAGTCACAATGGCCGGTTTGCCTCGGCAGTTAGAGGGTCGGCCCGCAGATCAAAGACTCGCAGGTTCGATTCCGGCCAAGGACACGTACCTCGGTTGTGGTTCGCTACCTGGCCCTGGTTAAGGTTGTACTGGAGGCAACTAATCAGTGTGTCTCTCTCACATCGATGTTTCTCTCTCTCTGTCTCTCTCCCCCGCCCCTCCCTCCCTTCCACTCTATCTAGAGATAAATGAAAAAAAAATATCCTCGGGTGAGGAATAAAAAAAAAAGTATGTCAGGCATCAATAAAGATTCTCCCAAAATTAATCTATAAATTCAATGTAATTCCAGTAAAATAAATTATCCTATTTATGCAAAGTGTAAACAGAAAGATATACTATGTCGTGTTTATGGATATATATGTACGCTCTACATATACATGTATGCATATATAGTAAAAGTATAAAAACATGCTTGGAAGTGACACATCTAAAATTCAAAATATGGGTTACCTATGTGATGAAAATGTCAAAGGATGTAGATAGGGGGCTTTTGATGCCTTATTACCATTTATTATTTAAAATTATTTTTTAAAAAATATATAATTTAATGATAAAAAAAAAAGTAAAGGAGGCAAACTATTCTTTTAAACTGGAGGGAGTTTTTGCTGAGAAGAGGAAGCACAAGATAAATAGAAGAAAGGACAACCTAGTAAGACTAAAAAGAAACTGTTGGGAAGGGAAAAAAACTATTTTAAGAACAGATAATGTGGCCCAGCAGGTGTGGCTCAGTTGGTTGAGTACCATCCTGTGCACCAAAAGGTCATGGGTTCCATTCCGGGTCAGGGCACACACTGGGATTGTGGGCTCGATCTCCAGTAGGGGGTGTGCAGGAGGCAGCCGACCAATGTTTTTCACATCGATGTTTCTCTCTCTCTCTCCCCCTCTCCCTCTCTCTTCCTCTCTCACTAAAAAAAACAAAAACAAAAACAAAAATCAATAAAAACATTTATTTCTTTAAAAGCAAAAAGTGGTTTAAAAAAAATAATAGAAAATGTACTTCGCTACTGTATCTTTCAGTCAATACCCAACATTATATACAGTGCTCTCCTGGGGCTCTATTTCGGCTCATGGATTAGGATGCTCTTACGGTAGAGACCACCCGCCTGGGGCTCTGGCCACTGCAAGCCACTATGAGATCCGTGTAGACAGCACATCGCTGAGCACTCAGTGCCCACCAGAGCCCAGAGGCAGACTGACTGCTCAGCTCTGTTACCACCAGCTTCTCACGCCAGATACTAGCATCAGTAGGTTTCTAGCCAGAGGAACAGGGAGTCTGTGGCTCTCACACTCCCATCAAGGAGGGTTACTGCAGTATAAATCTCCGGGATCTCTGTTTTGGACACAGTTCTAGCAGCGAGCTATGACTAACAACTAAGGAGCAGGAGAGATCAGAAATACCCACAAGCAGGCAAACTATAGTTTAGTTTTTACCCTGTCTTTCTTGACTATTTGATTTTTTACAATACAAAATTTATGCCTACAATCATTTTTGGCAAGAAATTGTTCTGTCTCCATCTTTACGATGGTGGCCAAGTTCGGTGCTCAGTTTTGTCAACTATGATAGTATCAAAACTGTAAAATATGCTAAAAGTGTTTTCTTTTGCTTCTCAGAAAGATTAAAAAAAAAAGGATAAAGGGAGATCATTTTCTTCAGGAGGTGATTTACATGAAATTGCTTATAAAAACCTTTCTACTCAAAGTGCGGTACATGGTCCAGCAGCCTCAGCATCACCGAGAGCCTGTGTGAAGGAAGAATCAGGGCCCACCAACCAGGTGAATCGGATTGCAGATTTTAGCAAGATCTCAGGTGACCCGTATGCACAGTAAAGTTGGATCCATAGGTCCAGAAGGTTTTTTCTGTTTTAGTGCAGGTCTTTTCTGTTTTAGTACCAGACATTTTTATTAGAAGTGATGGTAAGATAATACTTACAAGAATAAAATTATGCTTAGGTCAGTACATTTTAGAAGCAAATTGCCCTTCTTTCCAAACACATTGGCTACGATCTGTTAGTAAAACTCTGATGTGGAACAAAAATAGTACAATCACTGTTTCTCATTATCTCATTTTGATTTTTGAACCGAGATCAATCACTTTCTAAAAGCACTCTGCAAGCATAAGATATATTTTTTGTTAATTCCTTTATAAAAAAAAAAGTCCTTTTTAGTTTGTATTTCTCCCCCATCCTTTTTGTTGCAGATTCAGCCATAATTTCTTCAGTTTTCCTCCCTACTCAGTTTCACCACAGTGCCCATGATCCAAACCCCGTGTTTCAGAACTTGATGCATTTCATATGCTTCTCATCTGCTCCTCGCGCACCCCAGAGGGATGTTTCCAAGGACCCATCTGGATGCAGTTTAGATCAGGGCAGAAATAACTCACAGGCCTTGCCGTAAAACCTTTCTCATGATCATCTACACAAAGAGGAACATCTTGCATTCTACAAAATTTATTTTAAAAATAAAACGCAAGCAAGTAACACCGAATAATACAAATTAACTTCTTATGGATAAGAAAGGAAAATGCTGAGTCATTCAAACTTTTCTCTATTAGAATTAGGATGTTAGTGTCCCTTAAACAGTAAAATGGATGAAACTTGCTTTTTGTGTGTGTCCATCTCCCACCTTCTGGGAGGGTCCAGTGCTGTCCAATGGAATTGAACTGCGAACTACCACACAAGATGCTTTAGAAACGGCACAGTGAGAGAACTGAACAGTCACTGAACATCTGGTATGCATCAGCCTTGTGCTACACGTTTTACATGTGAGACTTTTCATCTCAACAGTGGTCCTATATCTGCTATAGATGAAATGAATCTCTTTAGCCTTTTAATAAATAGCTTCTTGACATTCATTTCTTAGTAACTTACCAAGAAATGGAATCTTACTGGTTTTAAACATTCCCAGTGCCCGGCCCAGTTTCTGGCAACCACCAAATGCCAGATTGGTCAACAATGTAAATGTGGTAGAGATGGAGAGGAAAAAGATACAAAAGAAACCTTTTTATTTGGCAATTATGAGGCCTAATAAGCCATGGGGAGGATTTTGGACTTCATCATAAGGATAATGATCATGTCTCTTTCATCATTATATATAAGCACCTAGCATGGGAATAACCTCTGCCCAATATGTACCTAGCACACAGTAGGGGCTTAATATTGAATAAAGGAATACATATATATGAGGTAAAAATTATATGTATTTCTTCCCATACAGAACTTGGTGCTTTTAGTAAAGACAAAAGCAAACAAAAACCTCTTTCTTTCCCGTGTGGCGACTTAAACTCTCATCGCCTGCCAGGCCCTCGGAGGGTGTCTTTGTTTCACACAATGCCACTTGCACCCTGAAGAGGCCTGTCTGATGGATGAGCTGAAAGAAAGCAACTTAAGATGCTTGAACGTGGTCCACAAATAAAACTGTTCTCTCACGTTTTAGTACATTCTTTCTACGCAGAATGGTATGTCTAGAAGGAGCAGGACTTTTTTTTTAATAAACAGGCCAAGCAAAACAATCTTCTTCCCTCAACACGAACTTATTATATTCTTTTCAAACACAGAATTAGCAATCCCAACCAAAGCCCAACAGTATACAATATGGTATAATAAATCACTTTTCATTTGAAATGTGAATTTAAATACCGAAGTCTTATCATTCAGTGTTTGTTAAGCAGCCGTTACCAGTGTGACACATCACAGGTACCTTGTTATTGGTGATTAAGAAATCCCAGTTCACTTAGCAAGCCCTTTTCGCTATCTACTTCTAGAAAATACATTTTGTTGTTTAATTGAAGACCACTCCGGTCATGCTGGGAGCCTATGGTTACTTCCATATCCACAGTCCATATTCATAAAGTCTTACAGCACACTGAGGAACATGCGAGAGATTTTACAAGTAAACCTCTAGTTCCAAAAAACTAAATCATTCTTTTGTTTTGTGAATCCTCACCAGAGAATATTTTTTTCCACTGATTTTTAGAGAGTGGAAGAGAAAGAGGGAGAGACAGAGAGAGAGAGAGAAACATGGATGTGAGAGAGACACATAGCACCCTGACCAGCCCGGGGATCCAACCTACAACCCAGGTACATGCCCTAGACCAGAAATCAAACCCAGGACCCTTGGGTGCATGGCCGACGCTCTAACCACTGAGTAACACTGGCCAGGGCCCAAATCATTCTTTGTAGGAGCAGAAGGAAAAGTGGGGAGGAACATAAGATATATGCATAAGAAGGCTTCATTGAGATAGGATTTCTACTAGACGAAAGAATGCTAGTGATTCTCTGCAAGTATCTAAATGTCTCTAATTAAAAAAAAAAAGATAAAATTACTGTGCTCTGAAAGTGAACACTCGCACATTAATGCATAGGCATGTACTTCTGTTAATACTAGGCAGGACTCTAGGACCATTCTCAAGAGAATTTTAATACTATTTATAACCCAAACTCTGAGTAAAACAGAGGAAGCTTGAAAACAGACTTCCCCAAGTTCCCACCGTGCAGTCTCACAGTTGCTTGGACACATGTGCTATTAGTTGTCCATCCTATTAGTAACAGCGCTTCCTTCCTGCAGATTCACCGAAACAATACACCATAAAAAAGGATTTACATAAAAGACAGCTGGAGCCGGTTGCCAGGGGAACTGACAATGTTCCAGACACATTCCACATCGGAGGGATAAACTTCCGGGTAGCCAGGGCTGTTGAGGGTGCCTTCGGCCATGTGGAAGTCTCCACCGCAAGCTGGAAGAAAAGAGAAAAATGTGAATGCCGGAGCAAAGATCAAATGCAAGACACCCCAAGATAAAGGAGAGAGAGCATTAGAGGAGCTGTTAACAGCATCAATATCACATAAAAAAATAAAAAATTGATATTATATAAAATAAGGAAAAGATTTTGAAAACTGAAATCCACGGGGTCTGGTGGATCAGAAGAAATCTCTGCAGTTTCTTTTCTAAAAGCCTTTTTTTCCCAGTGTCCTATAACTTGATGTAATAAAAGACTTGTTTCAATCCCACAACCACTGGGTATTTCTAACCAGGATGCCTTCCAGCCCTGGCCTAGAACAGGTCAGTATTGCAGTGGTTTACTCTCAGAAGCCTGAGACACACACGCCAATCTCTCGGGTGTTCTAAGGCTTGTCATTGCTGATCACCAGGAAGCTGGCAGCTGACCAACAGCACTGACTGAGAGACCCAGTACGAGGGGGCTCCTCTCTCCTCTCTCACGTGCCACCACCCATCAAGCCATCAGTGACAACACCCAGAGCCTGCCTGAGCCCAACTGTGAGGCTAGGGAGACAGGAGAACAGCGGTTGTCCATTCACAAACGATGCCATCGGACACTGTCAACTACAGGCTGCCTGTCACAGAGGAGAACACCAACACGCTGACAGGCAAGCCATCCCATCCGAGATCATTCCAGCCCGTTCTCCTCACTTCCAGAGTTTACGATGAGCAACGTTCGTCCCAACAGCCAAGGTATGGGAACAACCTAAGTGTCTATCGGTGGGTGAATGGGTAAAGAAGTTGTGGTCTCGAGTTCACAACTGCCAGCATTTATAAGGATGTTAACCTAATTCAGAAGAATATCAGGTGGGCACAGAGGTGATCTCAGGAAACTAGCTTCCAAGTCTAAAGGTAAAAGACCAAGGAATTCAACCCGGTCCCTGTTAAAACCTAGTGGCGCTGTTTGCTAGCCTGTCTTACCTGAAGACGACGCAGTGTATGTGGCATGGAAACCATCAGAATTCAGACTGGAATCAGAGACGAACCTCAGAGTCAGAGCCCGGCTGAAGGAGGTGATGGGCTGTGGCATGGAGTTGCCACAATAGCGGCCTAAATTATGAAAATAATGACAAGGAGAATAAAAGATAACACGGCATAGGCCATTATTTCCAGGAAACAAGGATTTACTAGCATCACGAAAATCCAAAGCAAACAGAGGAAATCACTATTAGGAGAACCATTTAAATCGGGTCAGTGCTTGAGACAATGCCTGAGAATTAATAAGAAACTACAAATACAAGCAGAGGAGAGAAGATTTATAAACATGACAAAGGATGTTAGGGGAAGATAAGAACAATGTAGGTGACCTGGCTCCCAATGTAACCAATGCTAAAATCTCTAGCACAGTAGGTACCTGCACAAATAAATGCACCAAAAAATACTTAAAAGCAAAATGTTACAGGCAAGACAAGTGTGGATGCTGGAACCAGAATACTTGGATTGAACTCCTAGCTCTGCCATGTACTAGCCACGTGACCTGGGCAAGTTATTCAAGTTCTCTGTGCCTCAATTTCCTCACTTGAGAAAAGAGACTATCGCTAAACAATGAAACCTGTATCATAAAGGTATGAGGATTCATTGAGCTAATATTTATTAAGTCCTTAGAGAAACACCCAGCACAAGGTGAATTCTAGATGTACTTGTTAAATAATATACCCTCATTCTTGGTCAAATGTTTATAGAGAAAAAGCAATACAATCAGAAGTGGGCACAGAGCAGAGAGTATTCATTGACTGATTGCCCACTTCTGGAGAATCTTTAAATAACCTGAGATCATTTTGTTTGAGGACATTTCAGGAACAGATAGCAGCAACATTTAGTTGCATTGGGATATCTTGCAAACCGAATTCTGGATTATTTATTTATTTAATTATGATTTTTTTTTTTTTTTTTGCTTTCAATGAGGACAAAACCAGAAAAAAAAACAAAAACATGCTCTCTTTGAAGGTAAGAACTGTGATCAAGCCCTGGCCGGTTTGGCTCAGCAGTTAGAGCATCGGCCTGCGGTCCAGAGAGACCTGGGTTCGGTTCCCACTAAGGGCACGTACCTCGGTTGCAGTTTGTCCCTGGCCCTGGTTGGTCGTGCGGGTGGCAGCCACTCGATGTGTCCCTTTCACGTCGAATGTTTTTCTCTCTCTCTCTCTCTTCCTCTCTCTCCCTCCTACTCTATCTGTGCAAAAGATGGAAAAATGTCCTCGGGTGAGGATAATAAAAAAAAAAAAAAAAAGAACCGTGATCAAATATTTTTTTTTATCTTCACCTGAGGACATTTTTTTTTTTTTCCTGATATTTTGTTCAGATAGTGGGAGGGAGAAAGAGAGAAAGAAACATCAATGTGAAAGGGACACATAGAGTGGTTGCCACCCATGCAACCCAACCGGAGCCGGGGACAAACTGCAACCGAGGTACATGCCCTTAGCGGAACCGAACCTGGGTCCCTCCAGACTGCAGGCCGGCGCTCTAACTGCTGAGCCAAACTGGCCAGGGCCTGAGGTCAAATATTATCAAGATATTTCTCACAGAATGCTACTTAATGCTGAGGTAGACTGCATTTCACTACTACCTAAAGTGTTTGCAACTTTAAAATTTTTAAACATGCAGAAATTATTCACATCCTTGCATATGAACAAGCTGTTCCTTGAATCCCATTTCTTACCCCCTAATTATCTGTATTTGGCTTATGCTGCTCTTCATGTGTATCGGAAACATGCTAACCTTGAATGACGGCACACACATATGCAAGCACGTAAATACAACCCAGTCGAGGCCACAGATGGAAAGGAGAGGGCTCCCGCCACAGTACCTCGGAGGGGCGCGTCATCATAATTGCCATCCAAAACTTCTAAAACGTCTCCTGAGCAGTTTGTGCTGCTTTCAAGTCCAAAGTGGGTAAAGGAGAGGGTTATATGATTAACTGTAAGACAAAAGGGAAGCCTATTTAATAAAGTTCTCCCGCAGGCGAGCAGTGAATCGGGCGGATGTGCACAGGGGTTGAGGGGATGGAGAGGGGAAGTGGCCAGGGCTCTGCCCCAAGCTGTCCTCTGAGGATGAACAGAATGTACACTGTTGCAAACGCCTATAGAATCTGAAATGCTAATAAAGAAGAGGACTCCTGGGTAGGTTTACTCCATGCACTATAGGGAATAGCTTGTTGAAATATAGTCTTTATACCTTTTTATACCTGCCATAACTATGTTCTTCTCCTAAGCACTTTTCTCAACAGAATCGTTCCTTTAAATCCTGGTTCTTTATGTGTGCTTGTAAACAGGACACGTTTCTTTCTGGCACTCACATCCTGCCCAGCGCTGTAGCTTTACTGTAAGGCCAGGGCCCTGAGGTTCAGAGTCATTTAAAAAGAAAGCTCTGAATTACTTGCAGAACAGCAAGTGCCCGGGGATGTTTTCCTTTTGTTGTTCTTCCAGGGTCCCTAGTCTTCAGAATAGGTTCTTTCCTTGCTGCTGGCTTTGAACCAGTGAGATCTCATCCAAATGCTTTACAGCTCATTATAAATCCTGGTCAAGTGCAGAACTGCTGGCTTAAGGCAGGGCCTCCTGACCCAAGGCTGTTCCTGCAGGCCAGCGGCCTGCTTTGGGGCCCCATGCTCCAGGCCGCCATTGGCTCAGGGTTACATCGCCAACCTCCAAATCCTATGCATGTCAGTAAAGAGTCCATTTGTTAACTCTTGACATCCCTGGGAAATGCGTTAGAGAATATTAAAGCCAAACTTGTCATTTTTTTGGATTAGCTAACGGGGCCTCATTAGTTTAAGTGACTTTCCTATTATCACACAGGTCATTAGTGATCGAGTGGAGTTGAGAGCTTAATGTCTTTCTCACATTATGTCTGAAATCATAAATATTTCCTGAAAACCTCAAGGAAGGGCAGGGCTCATCTGAAACTAGATTTGTAACAGCCCCAGGGTCACATTCTTTGCAGTCACTTCTGGAGTCTGTAACGGTCTCCTCACTCTCTTTCTATGTAAAATGTGAAGGCTTTTCCACCAGATTATTACTGGGTTTGAAAATGAGATTCTAGGAATCCAAACACAATATAATGTAAGTATTCATTAAGTGTTTCTTCCAGGTCTGTGCTGGGATTTTCTTTTTTCTTTTTCTAATATGTGCACTGCAGGAGAGACGGACCAGGTTCTAAAATTAACCTCCACTTTGATTAAATATCAATGTGCTCAGGGCACTGCATTCCCAAACTATATGAGTTATTCATTTTCCAGTCTATGCTTCTATTAATTTATCCACTTAGCAACTGCTTTTGTGCATCTACTACACTCAAGGCACTCGTGTCCAAAACTATTTATTTATTTATGAATTATTGTTGCTTACCCCTAGTCTCCCATGCCTGTCAATACAGCAAGGTTATAGGGTGGGATTTTGTTTGTTTTTTTTGTTTGTTTGTTTGTTTATGCTTGGCTTGAAACTTAAAACAAATGTTAAATTAAGAACAAAAAGTAAAATCACTTCCCTATCAAATTAGGAAATGTTTGTTCTTGTGAACAGCAGGCATTGGGACGTCCGGAAAAAAGAAAAAAAAACACAAGAGGAAGGCCATCAATTGTTACCTCGGGGGAGATAAGAACATTAGTCACAGAGGGACTTTCCCAGACACCGTCCGTCCTGGAACCCTTTTCCTCTTTGGTTTTGTTACTTACATGGAGGTTGAGCTTGAATTATCCAGCTGCAGTTCTGATTGTCCGGATACTTGGCAGGGAACAGTGGAGAGGATATTGTACCCAACGAGTTGGTGAGGATGTAGCCTCCGCAGACTGAGGACACAAACACACACATACACTCGTCATGTACTTTGGATGGCCACTGACTATGCACAGCAATTATCTGATGAATTGAACACATAATGGATTTTTCCTTATTTCCAAAACTCAGGCCAACAAAGCAATCTGCCAAGCAAGCTGTGCGTAAACCACAAGAAAATGGTTTTTCACTGTATATTTATAACAATAGACTTCAATTATCAAAGTAGGGAGTGACATAAAACAGCAGATTAATTGGCTATGAATCGACTGATCACTCAAACAAACGCTGGCATTGATTCACTTCCTTTGCCTACTCATAAATTACAGGTCTGGAAATTATGTCTTTACGGATACCTTTCTCTAGGGAAATCAATACGCCATTGAACAAGACTTCCAAGAATGGCTGTGGCTTATCAGAGAAGCAAGGCTCCGTGGGGGCGCAGGAGAGGAAGAGTCTGCTGCCAGTGAGAGCGGAAACGGAGGCGCACGGGGGACGGTGGCCACGGGGGAGCTGGGAGGAAGAGTAGCTCAGGGCACAGCAGCTTGAGCAACAGCAGCACGGAGGATGGGGAGGACTGCACCTACACACACTTGGCCGAAGCGCAGGGCACTGCGGGGTGTTGGAGGTGACCCTGAATGAAAGATCGGAGCAGGTTCCAGTGCCCTTGGGTAATGTCTGGAGGAGCTCAGGCTCCATTCCGTAGGCAGTGCGGTGCCCAGTACTGTCACTTTCAAGGGCATGATTAGAATGAGGCTTTTGCCAGTTGACTTTAAAGGAAGACGGGGAAAGGGTGGGTGAGATCCGGGAGGTTGTTATAATAGTGCAAGAGAAGACCTACTGGGGACGTTGTTTTACTCTAGTGCAACACAAGAGTGATTAATTAAATGAAAAAAAAAAAAAGTGTTCAGAAACCATTCTACTTTGGAAGCACAGGAGTGATTGCTCTGTGCAGTCTGTCTTACTCTGAAGTGCACAGGGCGTCTTTGGGAGAGCTGGATCCAGAAACTCTCCCGAGCCAGGGCTCCGGCCTGTAGAAAGCCAGCAAGGGCACTGAAACCGACAAATGACTAAGTGGACTAAACGAACTGAAAGGACAAGGGTCATCTGACAAAAACCAGAGGCCTACTGAAGCCAACTAACAACCCTTCTTGTTCTGGGTTCCATCTCTGACATAGCAGAATAAAGGGTTAAATAAAGGGATAAAAAGCAGTGGGTAAAAAAAAAGCCTCAGAGGAAGAACTGGAAAGTGGTGATTTAAGAACACAAACAACGGAAAACAACATTGGCAGGTGGACAATGGCAGGATTCTAGGGTTAGAATCTGACCCTATATTACAAGCAAGTCTTGTCATTTATAGTGGTATACCTCCATCTGATGTAAACACTTGGATAAATACTAGGTGATTTATCTATGGATAAATAAATTTGGATAGACACTTTAAAAAAAGTCATAACTGTATGTATTAAAGCTACTTTTAAGTCATATTCTGAAAATGTGTTTGAGAGCTATAGAGATTCCAAGGAAGTTAGCACCAAGTTAGACAAGGGTAAATGGAAAGGATCAGCAATTGGAATAACTGCAAATCATAGCTCCTTGGTTCTGTTTAAGTTGCTGCATATTAAGTAGAAAGCTGGGACCAAGGTGTAAGGATTGGTTTCATTTTCTTGTAGCATCAAGAGAGGCACTTAAGGACAGATGACCTGTGCCTCGGAGAGACCCGCCCAGTACCTACCTTGCCTGAAATGAGCTCGGAAGCCCCTGCTCTGTCTGGAAGGACCAGACTGAAATCTCACAAACAGGCTGTTTGCTGAAGAGGTGATGGGGCTAGTCAGCTGCTGCCTTCCACACCCCCGAGCAAGGCGGGTAGTTGCGGAGCTCACACCATCATATACCTACAAAGAAGACAACAGGGAAAATGATGGTTCAGAACCTCACACTTGCATCTGTAAGGCCCATGGTCCACGGACTATCAGTACATGGATGAGCTGGTGGAGAACAACACATTTGTTGGATCGAGTGTTTTATTCTGTTGTCATGTCATAGAGTTCCATGGGAGTGTCTGAGTCTTTGGCCATTTCTAGGGACATGCTAAGGATTTCAGTAGGAGTGTCTCTGCCAGAGGCACGTTAGATCTCCTGGTGTCTTTGTAAACACCTCTCTCACAGCCCTCCGTCCTCCTCGGACCCCAGGACAGTCACATCATAGGCCAAACCCACAACATGTACTGAAAATGTTGGATGCAAGAATAAATAGTGGAGCGAATTGATGAAGAAGCATGATGAGTAACCATTCCTTTTCAGAAGCCCAACATTTGCTGGCACTTTTTGTTCTTCACAGGGTCGTGGTCAAGAAAGAAGAGAAATGGCACAGCTCACTCAAATAATATAGTGATGCGAGTTTGACTTAGAAAATTACTTCAAAGATTAAGAAAATTTATTGGACTTTGTGTCTGCCCAGGATGCTGGGACTAGGTGATTTCCCATACTTACCAATGGAATAGAGTTTTCATTACATGCACTCAAAATTGCTGTATTGGTTTGTGAAATTGAAGCTTGCTCGTTTCTTTGGAACTCTGTGTGTCTGGTGTAAATTTTTTTTTTAATTTTTTTCTTTATTGACTTTAGAGACAGAGGATGGGAGAGGAAGAGAGAGACAGAAACATCGATGAGAGAGAACATCGACTGGCTGCCACCTACATGCCCCCCACTGAGGATTTGGCCCACAACCTGGGCATGTGCCCTGACTGGGAATCGAACCAGCACCAAGAGGTGCTGAACCACTGAGCCATACTAGCCAGGTTGGTGTGAAATTTTAATGCTCTTACATGTAAACCAGTGGTAAATGAGTTCTTTTGTTTGAGTGATCATAATAATAGCAACTGTTCATCAAGTACTTACTATGTGCTAAGAACTGGATTCAGCTCTTCACATACATTATCCCATATTCTTCTCCCAAGAATCCTTCCATTTTTAACAAGAGCACAACTGATGCACCACGAACCCAAGTAATGGGCACAAAGGCCAAGTCACACATTCCCAAGAGGGAGCAGGTCATATGGAGCCAGACAGCTGGTTTCTAGAGCACAGAATCGAAACTCATTTTGTCCAAGGTAAGATATCAATTAAGAAGAATAGATGCATCACCTGGCCAACTACCAGAGTGGATTAAAATATGAAATTAAAATACAGTTGTTTCACTCAGAATAAATTGTTATTTATATAGAAAAAGAAAGTCTTGGGGGAAATTTAAAGTTCAGAGATTTAATACGAGGAAGGGACACACTAATGACTTTAAATACCTAGTGATGATTACAATCAGTGTTCTCTTTGGCAAATAAGTATGATTGAGAGGCTATTCTCAGTTGAATTTATACAAGTACATGAATCAAACATTAAGAGTTTTTAACTCTCTCACAAGGGAGGCTTAAGACTTAACAATAATAAATTTTAAGTAAATGAGATTCTGAAAGAGCAATTACTTTCTTTTTTTAAATTAATGTCCAAAGTTTAAATCTATATGTCCAATAAATAAAACATTAAAAGTGATTTTTATTCAACATTTAAAGATAAATTCTAAATTATACTTTCTTAACCAATTCAAAATATACTTGCCAATCTAATACGACTACTTTCATTGAACATTTTGGACACCTTAACTAGTAATCAAAATAACATATAAACTATTATTACAGAATCTCTCATGATATTTACACTTCACTCTACTTTCAAATATTACCATCATTGGTTTTTTATTATTTCTATAATTAGTTTTCTACTTTCCCAAAGTTATAACTATAACAACTTAGGGTATCAGTAATGTTATATTAATACTTGCTTTAGAGACTAACTTCTAGAACGCCTGGGGTCACAGGCTCTAGGCAATACACCGATTGATTCTTGGTCATGACTACTTGCTTCTCTTAAGGTGATTTGTTTGTTTGTTTTTGTTTGTGTAGAACATGTCTTAAACTCTAGTGGAACACCAGGGTTCTATGAGGTTTACAGACACCCCACCAAGCAACAACAACACGCTCATTCAGAAGATTTTTATAGGTCCATGAACTTACAAAAAGCAAGGCCTTTCGAGTCTCCTTTATTTCTCCCTAAATTCAGAGCTGTTGTGAGTGAATGGGTGTTGTTCTTTGCCTTCTTAAATTCTTTTTTTTCCCCCTCTGGATGATTGCAAACCTCTTAAGCCAAAATAAGTAAATAAGCAAGTAAGTTAAATAAAGTAAAGAGTAAGGTAGAAAGTTAAGGCGTCACATGAATGAGCCCATGCCTGGGGACCCTTTGAGAGGCACCCATCTTCCAGGGGTTCTCCATGTTTTCCAGCCCCCAAAGACGCTGGAATTACGGGGCTTCTGCTGAAGTGTGTATGGCTGAAGCATCGCTTTACAGGGAATGGATCCTAGGTAGAAGGTTTCCAAACATCCCCAAATCCAAAGTATATACCAAAACACCATAAATATGATAAACAATTATACAAACACTATCACAAACATTATAACTTAGTCCTCCACATTATGTGATTTTCAGAAAATGATTAAAGTGAGACTTAACAAGTGTCCTAGCTACTAAAGTCTTGTCTCAGCCGGTGGAAGCTAGTGACAATGGGAGCTAGTGATCCAGAGTTAGGAGCTTAATTCTTTTTCCAATTTCTACATTAGATCATGTTACTTCTCTTTAAAATGCTTTCGAGAGTTATTAAGTTATATGTACCTAATTGTTCTTGTATAAAGTGTAATACCTCAGGTTATCAAGGAGACAGTTGATTTTTTTTAATAGTCTGAAATAGCAATTCTTTTATTTAAGAGTGTTGTTAACACTTGTAATATCAAATCAATTTAAGTTTTCATTTTAAAATTATAAGGGAAAAAATGCAAGGAAGAAAATATCGGGATATTGTTCCTATTTATTTAAAATTCAAAAGTCATGAAAATTATCAATATTCATTTTCCCTTACTTCCACGTAGTGTCTAAGATAGAGCTCACAAACTAGATTACTATTGGCTACACGTATAACACAGTCATGTAGCTTATAGATATATAATAGAATTCTTATTGAATTCTACTGCTGAGATTTTTTTCAGGCCTGGAAATTGATTTTCTGGTCTGATATTAATAAAATAAAATTTTGAAGTTGAATCCACAAAAGAAAAAGTGGCCACCATCCTTGAGAGTTCCAACTACAGGGGCTCTGAGAACAGGCAAATCTAGTTACGTGGTAATTCAATTTCTATGGAAAAGTTGGTCTCCTTAGAAAGTATCCAGAGTTCTGCAAGATACCAGCTTACGCATTCAGAATACCAAACCTTAATGTGATCATATAAAAACAGAAGATGTTTTAAAAGAAAAGAAGCTGCTACGTCATGGATGATAAATATCTGGTGTTCAAATAAGCCTCTGCACAGAAAGGATAAGGTTGAGAAACCCAGAGTGGAGAAAAACCTGCCTCTGTCAGGGAGCAGAGTCCAGCAGGCATGACAGAGGGTCGAGGAGGCTCTTCACGTGGGTGACAGGTCAGTGGGCTGCTTTCTGGGCAGGCTTTCTACATTCTGGTCCCCAAGGGCAACGGAGGAGGCTCCAATCACAGGGCACAGGCCAGGCCACACGCGCAGCGCCCAGGTGCCTTCTCACTGACTGTACCAGCCTTCCACCAGCCGTGAGAGCACACGGAAAGTGGGAGGTGGGCAGAGCACATCGGACCAATCCCCAAGGCCCAAAGTATTCAGAACACATGACATTTCCAGTGCCGTCAGGAACCTCTGTAGTGTAGCGTCCATACCCTAAGCCAGTGATTTTCCAACCATGGGCCACAGGAATTTTTTTTTTTTTGGTACGTGCCCCTAGCGGGAACCGAACCCGGGACTCTCTGGTCCGCAGGTCGATGCTCCAACCGCTGAGCCAAACCGGCCAGGGCTACACAAGAATTTTTAAATAAGAATTTTTAAAACATGCAATACCTGACAAGTTAGTCAGAGGCACTGACCTCTTTTCCCTTGGATTGTCAAATTTAAAAAAATTACAACAGCCAACATAATAGTCTCCTGGTGTGAATGAATCAAAATTATACTTTTTTTTTTTTTCTCAGATCATCAAAAAATAAATATTTTGGTGTGCCGCAGAATTTTAGTTATTAGTTTAGGGGTGCCATGAGGTGAGAAAGGTTGAAAATCGCTGCCCTAAGTTCTAACCAGAAGTGAAAACTAAGTCAATCATTTATGAAGTTTCATATGGATGCTTTAAAATCTGAAGGAGATTTGGGTAAATGTCAGCCCTTTTCAAAGTTCACACATCTCCAGCATAAAGTGGCATGAGGAGGAAAACTGTTCAAGAAAGAGACCAGCATCCCTTTCTGATGATATTTATAGAGGCTGACGGTCAGAGTCCTAAGGACTGGTGATTCGAGAAAATAAAGGAGGTAAGCAAAATAAACAATTTACCTTGCTGTACACTTAATGATGATAGAACTATGCATTATTGTACAATATGCATTATTTAGAAGGTGGTGTCAGAATTTCTTTTAGAGAGATAAAGTGTTTATATAGCAAAACACCTTCACAGACTCTCAGGAAATGACTGTGAGAAATGTTTTTTGTTTGTTTTTGTTTTATGTTATTGTAGACAAGTTTCTCTCCTCTCTATCCTCCAGCTTCCTAATCTGTAAAATGAAGTGAACATGAGCACATAGCTACTATTGTTTATTGAATTAAATTAGTTAAAAGATATAAAGTATTTAGCATGGTTCCTAGCACATTGAAGTACTTAATAGATATTAGCCTCGCCTATTAATGTGAGACAGAGGGAGAGCTAAATTGCTATTTAATAAACGAATAAAGTTTTAGCAGGGGTGGGTGGGACTGGAGAGCTATAAAGGCAAAATCAAAAAGTCC